GCCACCCGAGAAGAGAAGTATCTAAATTTCTCGGATAGAAACGCTTTACATTTCAAAAAATTATAAAACCATTTTTTCGTAATTAGAATTAAATTTTTTCATTCCTTCCATTTTTCTTGTTATAAAAAATTTACTTCGTTTTCATTCTAGGTTAGATATCAGCTTAATTTAGTGAACTAATACTTTTTAGAGGAAAGAGTTTAATGAACAAGTATTTTGTTAAATGCTTTTAAATTCTTATTCAATTTAATTAGTCTAAGGATAATATAACGATTAGCTTAGAAAAAAGCAATTTCTTTTAATATGCTCTAAATATTTCTTAACAAAGTTAAAATTATTAAAAATGGATTGGTACGTAATAAAAAAAAAAACTATAAACTGATAAAAAGATGACAGTCACGTATTGAGAGGGAAGTAATTAGCTTTTACTTACGTTTTGGTGTAATGTTCGTGTTCTTAAAAAAAAGAAAATAATTTACATGGTAAGCCTGCTGAACTTTATTATAAACTTTTAGTGAAACTTTTTAGTCTGGCCACAGTTTCGTAGTTTTAAAGATATTTTCATAATATAATTGCCAGCACTTTAAGACTCCTTTAAGCGTAGAACACAAAGTTTCAGTTTTCTAAAAATAAGAAAAAAAAATAATTATTATAGAATAGTAAGCAATAAAAATAAAAGATACCGAAAAAGTATAAATTATAATTTATAAAATTCGTTCTTTTAAGCTTCTAAATATAACCAAAGCTGTTGTCCTAACAATCTAAATTATATTTGTTATTCTATGCGAACGTATGATATCTTTTTCTATTAATATTTGTGGTAAAGTTTGGCTTTCTTCCAAAATATTAAGAGATGTAAAAGTAAAGCGCTCTATAAAAATTAATAAATCTAAAAATTACTAATATCCTTTTTTTTTTAAATTATAATATTTAATTTAAGTTTACTTTAAAAGCTTTTAAAAAAAAAGTTTGGGTATATTCGAATCCCTCCAAACAAATTATTTTTAATCTGCAAAGCTAATTCTTTTTTGAAGATCGAAAAGGTTTAGCAATTCATACAAACTTTCCATTAATTAAAAATGTTAAAAAATTAATTTTTGTGGGCAACTGAGCTTTTTCCTTTTTCGGTGTAAATATAAGCCTACAACTGTTTAGTTTTTTCACAAAGCTACAAAGTGAAGCACCCTCTTTAAAATTTAAGAAGTTTTACAACAAAAGCTTAATAAAATAAATTCCATAATATATATGTAGGCATCTTTTAAAACATATAGAGCACATTATTGCTAAATTTCTAGAGTTTTCTACAAAATTTTGTATACATTTTATCATACAAATTAAAAAAAAAAGTTGAACAAAATATTTCATTTAATTAAATTATAGTTTTATTTATAGAATAATAAAATTTATTTTGTAAACTTATTTATTGTAGATTTCAAATTATAAATTCCAGAAATCGTTAGCCGTATTATTTTTCGTTCTACGATGTCTAGAGGAGCGCCGCTTAATATTTACATGCGTCGGCCCGATTTCCACGAAATTCCTTTTTTTAAAAATATTTATAACTTTAAAATTATATATAAAAAAAAATCTACGTTAATTCAGATTCTTTGTTTTGTACAATGTGAGGTGAAGGCTCAGCCTGATAATAATAATAATAATAATAATAATAATAATAATAATAATAATAATATAAATTTACTTTAAAGAGACTAATTAATTATTTTTTTGCATTAAAAAAAAAACTTATAATAACTAATTTTATATTTTATATAAAAAGTTTTATATCATAAAAATTATACAATATTATCATAATTCATTAGTTTTTAGTTATTATTATTTATAAATAAAAAATTTTTATAATAATAAATTTTAGTAGATTTATAAAATAAAAATAATAAAAAATATAGTTTTGGAGTTTCCTTATTATTAACGTTGCGGTTGTTTTGCTCCAAAATAAAGTTTGCTTGAATATTATTTCTTTCAAGTTGTTGGCGAAGTTGAAGTTCTTTTTTAATATGTATTCTTTCCAGTCTTTTAATTTCCTTATAATAATAATCAAAATAATAGGGATAATGAATAATAAAAAATATAATACAAAGAATAATGGTAAATATTTATATTAATAGCAAGAAAAAATAAAATAAAAATTATAATAAATAAACTTTAAAACAAAAGAAATAGTTAAAAATGAATAGTAATAATTAATAATAAATACAAACTATTATAAAAAGTAGATAATAAAAGTTATAAAGACGATAATAATAAATTGTAAACAATAACAAGAAATAATTTTCCAGCTGAAAAAATAAAGTATTTTTATTCACAAAAAATAGTGAATAATAAAATAATAAGGTGAAAATATTTATAACAAAAACTATAATAATAATAGTAATAATAGTAATAATTTTTTTTATAATAATATATTTAAACTACCATAAAAAATTATTAAAAAATTTAAAATAATAATTATTATTATTACTATTTTTAACAGCAAAAAATAAATTTTCTAAAATAAAAATAAAATTTAAATAATAATAAACTTTATTATCAAAAAAAATTTAATCACAAAAAGATATAAATATATAATCACGATAATAATTTCAAAAAAAAAATAATAATAAAGAACTAAATAATTTCATAATAATAATTATAATAAGTGATAAAAAACAATTACCTTCCAAAATTCCGAACAAACAAAATAAAAATAACTATTTTAGTCTATAAATTAAAAAAAAATGAAATTAAATATTTAAAAATATATATAGAAATTATATAAAATATTTAATAATAAAAGTAATAATCTAATAAAGAATAAAAAAAATAATAAATACAAATTATTTTAAAAATAAATTTATTTTTATAAAATAAAATCTAAAAAATTTAACTAAAAAATATAAAATTTAAGGATATAGTAATAATTTTTAAATATTAGGAAAAAAATAATGGAAATCATGAACTTGTATTAGTGAGAGTTGTGAACGCTCCAATTCGTCATTCTTGACTTCAAAATCTTTAGAAAGCTAAAAGTTTTTTCAAAAATAATAAATATAAGCCATAATAATAGTATTATTGAAGTGTATTTTATATAACATAATATAATAAAAACTTGGATTAAAAAATAAAATAAAAGCATAATAATTATAATATTTAATAAAGTAATTATAGATATTTAAGATAGATAAAAGAATAACAATGATATTTATTAAAGTAATATAACTTAAAATAAAATAATAAAAGTTTTATTTTATAAATAATAAATATAAATGCATAATAATATTTATTAAAGTAATAACTTTGAAAAAAAAAAATAATAAAAGTTTTTTAAAAAACATATATAAAAGCATAGAAATAATTTTTATTAAAGTAATTATGGATAAAAAGAATATAAAAGCATAAAAATATAATATTTAATAAATTACTTTTTAAATAGAAGAAGTAAAATAAAAGCATAATAATATTTAATAAATTGCATATTAATAAAAAAAAATTATATAAAAGCATAAGAATTATAATTTTGATAAAAATATATATGAATAAAAACAATAATATAACAATAAATAAAAGTTTTTTTTATTAATGTATATAAACGCATAATAATAATATTGATAATAATAGTAATAATAACATAAAGTAAAAACTTTTTCTGAGTTAGATAATTTTTCTTTTAACAGTAAAACCGTTTCCTCTGCATTTTTTAAAGCTGATTTTAGTGAAAAAACTTTTTCGTTTTCAATATTCTATAGGAAAAAAACAAAAACTTATCACTTTTTATTTATAGTACTTTAATAATCATTAAAACCTTAATATATTTATATTTAAGGAATATAATAAATATTTAAGAGTTATTACTGATTTTTAAGTTTAATAACAAAAAATAAAACTTTTAGAAGTATATTTTTTTTTTTAAAAATTTCATTAAAACTTAAAACAAAAAACTATTTTTTAAAGAGTTAAAAAAATTGAGTTTTTTAATATAAAAATAAAAATCTTTAAAAACTTTTTAAATATTATTTTATATTTATGCTTTTCAACAAGTTCTTCGTAGAAAACTTTAAATAATATTAATGAGATTATAGAATAAAAGTGTATTAATAAAAATATAATCAGAAATTTAATATTCAAATTAATTCTCCAGTGTTAGGAAAAATAATTAATAACCAATAAGATACTAACTGTTGTATGTATTGTTAATTCTTTATAGTAAAACTATGTAAATTCACTACAAAATTTAATAAGTTTTGGCTCAAAATTAAAAACAAAAACGCCCAAAAAAATTTTGTTAATAAATCTTCGTTTCTGTTGGGGCTCAAAGAATTTTAAAAATAACGAAATTGTTCCTCAACAAAAAACTAGACTAAAAAAATTAATTGCCAATTTTTTTTTAGCATTCTCATAGGCCGAAAAATTAATATTTTCCCCAACAAAATTAATATAAATTATTAATAAAACCAAACTTTATTAGTAAAATATTAAGCAAAAATAAATAAGCAGCTCCCAAAACCTCATAGGTACAAAAAATTTATTTCGCGATTTTAAAAATTTTGAACTTCACTAAAAAAAATTAAATATAATCTTCCCTCGCAAAAAAGTATAAATACAAAAGATATTATTATGAATTTTCCACGATTTTCATGTTCTTCAGCACTTCGAAAAAATGAATACTTTAAATCCTCCCAACAAAAATATTAGCATAAAAATAATTTAACAAATAGACGAGATATGAGTATTTTTAATTCCTCAACGAATGTTATTGTAATAGGAAAAAACTTTATAGAGATTGGCGTTCGGCACTTAAAAAAAATTTATAAATTTCCGAACAAATCTTCTAAAAGCGAATCAATAAAGAAATAAACTTTTACAAAATTCTTAGCGATTACAGAATCTTACAAAATTCATAAAAAAAAATCAAAAAATCTAAGGAAAAACACTAATACAAATCTCGTGTAAACCGGATAATAAAGTAGACAACAGATACTGATTGGCAGAGTACAAGTTTTCCACTAACAAAAAAAGAGAAAAATGACCACTAATTTTATAGAGTGAGCAAGTTCTCTTTTGAGTTCGTCAACAATTTTTTTCTCTGCGTCTAGAGATAAGCGAAGAAAAGGAACTTCTTCAAGAAAAACTCTTCATTAGAAATATAATAAGAAAAGTTAATAAAAGGTTATAGAAAATAAAAAACAAATAAAGTACAAAGTTATAATATATTAATAAACAAAAACCGAAAGTTTCATAAAAATCTAAAAAAAAAAGTAAAAAACTAAATTGTTTTATATTAATAATAAAATATAAAAATAAATAAAATTAGAAATTTTCAATAAAAGTAAAAAATACATCAAAAATAAGTATGAAGATATAAAAAAGTAATTGAACTGAAAAGAAAATATTTTATAATAAATAGAAAAAGTAATAAAAATAGTAATAATAGTATAATAATATAAAATATTGTTTGTAAAAAATTGATAATAAGCTAAAAAAATATATTTTAAAATAATTATTATAAAAAATATAAATAATAATTAACAAATTATTATAAATTTTTTTTTACTGTATATATAACGGTATTTTTATCTAAATTGAATAAAAAAAAATATATAATTAAAGAAGATAAAGTGAATATAATAAAAAGTATTATGAATAACTTGAATTATTATATATTGCGTAATATATTAATAATAAGAGTTTATATTAAATATAACAAAAATTATATATAGTTATAATTATTTTTTAAACTCTTTTTTTTAATATTAAAAAATAAAACAGAAGTAATTAAGAAGATAAAGTGAGTCATACAAGAGTGTTATTATTAAATAGAAATAACAAATACGGAATAATTATAAATAAAAGAGAAAATATTAAATATAATAAAATATATAAAAAAGTAGAACACGTTTTTTATTATTACTATTATTATTTTAAAAACTAACTTTTTTATATTTTAATAAAAAAAAGTAATAATAAAGAAGATAAAGTGCATTAATAATATAGGATAATAGCAATAAAATCTTTAAATATTCAAAAAAAATTATATAACATAAAGTGGAACGTTGTAATTATTAGTATATTATTATTTTTGATACTATTTTTATTGGTATTCTATAAATAAAAAAATAACAATAAAGAAATAATTTTTTTGGTAATATATGAAACACTGAATAATAATAATAAAAGTAAATATAACATTATAAAAATTATATATTATTATTTTAGATAATTATTTATTATTAAAAATTTGTACTAATTCATAATATTTTTATTTATAATTATTTATTACTACTATTAGTTGTAAAAATATTTTTTCATTAACATTAATAACTTTTATGAATATTAATATATAAACTTATTTATCTATTTTATTTTTATTTTATTATTAATCTTAAATGTAAAATTATTATTATTTAAAAAATATTTAATTCAATATATTATTTTATAAATAATATCATGTTAATAGTTGTTATTTGTTATTAAACTTTTTCATTGTATAATTTATTTTATCGTAAAGTAATACGTAAAAACTATTGAAAAAAACTATAATAAAAAAAAATTATCAAAAAGTTCTTAGCAAAAGTAAATAAATATAAATGTAAATATATAATAAATAAATATTTATTAATTTATAAGTAATAATTTTTGAAATGCTTTGAATAAGAAAAAAATAAAATTACTATAAAAAAAATAAGAATAAATAAAATATTAAACACAATAAAGTAAAAAAAATATATTATTTTTTTAAAAAAAAAGTTGTTGAATGGAAGAAAGAAAAAAGTTAATTTATAATTATAATAATAAATAAAAAAAATATTCTAATTTTAAAAGCAATAAGAAAAAATTAAAAATAATAATTAGAAAAATGTTATTTATTATAAATGCAACAAGAATACAAAAATAATAAGTAAAAAATAAAAATATATTACTATTATTCATTTCGATAGTAATCATAATATATAAATAAAAATAATAATATTAAGTAAAAAAAAAATATTTATTTCTTATTATTTTTGAAAGCAGTAAGTTAATAATAAATAAATATAAATAAAATTTACACTAATAATATATTAATATTATTATATATAATAAAAGCAAAGAAAAAGAGTGATAATTATATAATAAATATTTATAGTAATATTGCTATTTAATTATAATTAAAATAGCAATAATAAATAAAAAGAAAAATAAAATATTACTATTTGAAATAATAATAATAAAAAATTAAAAATATTATTATTATAATTATTATTCCAGTTGAAATAATAATAATAAAGTAATAATTAATAGTAAAAAGATTATAATAAAATATACAAGATCAGTTGGTTTCACTAAAGTTATAACAATAAAAATTTAAAAAGTTAAAAAGTTTAATACATTTTCAAAATGGCGGATGCTTCTTTTATAGTTAATGATTGAAGCACTTCTTGAATCGAATCAGAAATATTTGCTAATAGTAATAATGATAAACATAAAAATTTCTTTTTCACCGAAATAAAAAACTTTAAATATGTAAAAAAAAGTAGTGAAGAAAGTAAATAATAATAATAACTTTTAATAAGCTTGTAAATGTATATATAAATTTTTATTAGATAGAAATATAGTAGTTATTAATAATTATTATTAGCATAACTTTTAATATTACTTATATAAAAATTGTTGTTTTTTATAGTAAAATATGAACTTTTATATTATATAAAAAAAAGTAAGAAACTATTTATGATATTGTAGTAAACTTATAAGAAATATAACTTTCAATATCACTTATATATAAAAAAAAAGTTGTTGTTTTCATATAAATTATGAACTTTTATTATACAAAAAAGTGAGGAAAAAATAAATATTTAACAGTCATTATTGTTGTAAACTTAGAAAAAATATAACATTTAATATTATTTATATATAAAAATTGATGTATTTCATTATAAAATAACAACATTCATTATATAAATAAAAGTGAATAACATAATATATTATTTTCCAATAATAAAAATTATATATACATTTAATAATTACTTTAAATATTACTTATTTTTAAAATTGTTGCTTTTCATTATAAAATATGAACTTTTATTGTAATGAGTAAAATGTATATTTATTTATTATTGTTATTATTATAATGTTTAAAAAAATAATACTCGTATTCAATATTTCATTGCAGTTTTCTAAAGCATGCAGTTGGATATTTATATATTCAACTTCAGCGTTTAGATATTCGCGTTCTTCTTCATTAACTTATTAACATAATAAAGAATAATAAAGTATTAATAAAAAGGCTAAAATAATAAGATATAATAAAAAGTGAAAGTACAGTAGTAATAATAATCACAATAGTAATAATAATAACTCTCTGAAGAAAGATCGCGTTCCAGCTGAGACTTTTTTTCTGCCAAAATAGAAAGATCAGCCAATTGCTGTTTCTGGATTACTAAAGCCTGAATAAATATATTATAAATATAATAATACTAATAAATAACAATAACAATAATTATAAAAGTAATAAGAAAAAATTAATTTGATATATAAATAAAAAAATAAACCGAATAATAATAAATAATAAAAAAATAATGAAGGATAATAATTATGAAACCTCAATTTGGTTCGTTAAATAAGTTTGGAGTTCGTCTATTGGCCGGTCAAAAGTCTCTCTTTTTATATTGTCTTCCGTTCCAGTCGCTTTTATAGTTTATTATAATTATTTTATAAAAATTTATATTAATATATAAACGTTAAACAAAAATATAAAAAGTATTATTTATAGAAATCTTATTTATATTAACGTAAACATTAAAAAAAAAATTAAATTATACAATATAATATATAAAACAAACCGTAAAGTTTCCTTCTTTTATGTATTAAGTTTGCTTCCTGAAAAGTTTATAATATAAGTAAATAAAAAAAAATAAAAATAAAATAATACATATAAAAATAATAATACTAATTAAAAAATTATAAAAAATCAATAATAGCAAATAATTAATTAATCATGCAGATAGTAATAAATAATAATACAGTTTAAATAAATATTAATAAATAAATAAAAAATAATACAAAGCAAAAAAAATAATAAAAAGAATAATAGAAATAATATTTTTTAAAAATAAATAAATAAAACATAACACAAAGTGAAGAAATTATAATAAAGTAAATAATATAATAGTATTTTTCATAAATAATAATTAAATAAAAAATAATACAAATTAAATAATAAAAGTAAAAAATAAAAAATGTTTGTATATAAAAAAAAAATTAAAATTAATAAAGTTAATAAAAAAAGTATAAAATTAATTTTATTAGAAAAAAATTATTATAATAATAATTAAATGTAAATAAATACAAAATAATATTTATTTTATGTATATTTATATATAATATATTATTAAAAATAAAGTAAATATTTATAATAAAATAATAAAATAATAAAACTGGAAAATAGAATATTGAAAATAATGTTCGATAATTATAACTTTTCATAACAATTAAAAATATTAATAAAAAATAAACTAAAAAGTGGAAGAAAGTAAAAAAATATATAATTAATAGCATTAAAAAAAATTAGAATACACAAATATATAAAACATATATAATAATTATAAGGTAAATAATAATAATAAATTTTTTCTGGTATATAAATAATAATAAAAGTTATAATATTTCAAAGTAAATGAATTATAATATATTCTTAAAAATAATATACAAAATAATAAAATAATAAAACTATAAATATAGGAAATAAAATATATAAAAGTTTATAAAAAAAGAAATTATAATAGGAAATCATTTCTTTATAAATAATTTATTAAAATTAAAATTACGAAGTGAATTATTGAGTATTTCAAAGTAATATATTAATGAAGTTTATAAATATATAATAGAAGTATATATAAGTTTATAAGAAATAATAGAATTTTTTTAATTAAAGGATAATAATAAAATATCAAAATAATATGAAGTAAATATATTACTAAGTATTCTATAAACACAAAAGACAATAAAAGTTTATTAATTTAAAAAATTCAATATATTATAAATATAAAATCGTATATAATAATAATATTTTTATATGTATTAAAAAATAATTAAAACAATAATACGAAGTAAATAAATTTTATTAAGTAGATTATAATAAAATAACAATTACTGTACTACATAAATAAAAAAGTAAAATAAAAATATTATAATAATAAGTAAAGTTGGATGTATGCAACATAAAATATCTTTAAAAATAAATATATATAAAAGATAATTGTAAGCCAAAAGAAAAGAAAAATAAATTAATATGCAGAAAATAAATAATTTAATAGATATTTGTTTTAATATTAATAATAATAGAGAAATTATGGAAACTCTTTATAGTAATAAAGGAAATAAATAGTATAATTATAAAAAGTTATAAAGTAAAAGAATTTTATTCAAATAAATAATACTTACAAAAAAAAATAAATAAGAACTTTTCATAGTAATAAAAATATAATATTAATAATAATAAAAATAAAAGTTATAAAGTAAATTTTTTATAATAAACAAGTATTTAAAAACGTTAATCAATAGTAACTAATAAACTAATTAATATCTAATATATAATAATAAGGTTAACTAATAATATAAAATGTTATTTCTATTGAAGAAGCTCATAATAAAAAGTAAAACTTAAAAATAATAATAAAAAGTAAATATATTCACTTATAAAAATAATAAAGTTAACTGTATTAAAGTAAATAAAAAAAAATTAAAATATTGAGAGTAAAATGCTATAATAAATTTCTTTTTAATTATAAATATTTTAATATTAAATTAAAGAAAATAAAATAAAATAATAAAAAGTAAAAAAAATATAATAAAATTATTAATTATATAAATGTTAATGATACTAAAAAGTTCATTATCAAAAGTAAAATTAGTATTATAAAAAAATATTTAATTAGATCAGAGATATTAATAACGAATAAAATATAAGAAAATAAAATAATAAGAGTAAAAAAATTTATAATGCATAAAATAAACTTATTTTTTATAAAAAATGTTAATGATAGTTAAAAGTTCATAATAAATATAATTTATTAATAAAATTTTTAACTATATTAAAAAATAATAATAATAAGTAAATAAATATATATAATTTGTGATGATAGTTAAAAGTTTATAATTAAAAGTAAAAATATATATAAAAAATAAAATAATATATATTAATATACACAAATATTAAGATTTATTATAAATAATAAAAATAATAAATACAAATATTTAACAAATAAAATAATGTAAATAATGTAAAATAAATAAAAATAAATAATTCGAGAAGTTTAAAGAAAAATACAGAAAATTTTATGAATTTATGATCAAGAAAAATCAAAAATTTTAATGATATTCAAAAATTGATAATAAAAAGTAAATAAAAGGAAATAATATCAAAATAATATAAAAAAAATAATAAATAAATAAATTTATATGAGATAGAAAATTATTATACTTGATAAAAATAAAAAAAATTATTAAAACAAAAAAAATAACATATTTAACAAAAGAATAATAAACAATAATAAATAAATGATATAATATAATATATATAAAAAAGAAGAAAAAAATAAATAATGAGAATAGTACGTTACGAAAAATAAGTAAATGCGTAATGATAATAGTAATAATATTAATCATAATAATAAAAATAATAATAATGATGATAAAAGTAATAGTTATGATAACCTTCAACTTTCTTTTTAAAACTTCCGTCTGAAGTTTATTCTGGACTTCCAAAGTCGCTATACGTGCTTTGTCCTTCCCTCTTTCCTTTTCAAGTTTCGCAATAGTTCTTTTTTGCAGTTCCTTTAATAATAGTAATATATAATCATTAAAAATTTAAAAAAGTATTTAAAATATAATAAAATATATTAAAACTTTTTTCTAAGAAAGATAAAAGATAAAAAAAGTTTTAATAAAAAGTATTTAATATAATAAACTTATAATAAACACGTTTGCACAGTTTTAATGGTAATAATAATAGTAATAATAATGAAACTTTTTGAGTGTTGTTTCGATTCGAATCTTCCTTCATTTGCTTTAAAAGTCGAATCTTTTGGCGCTTCATTTCACGAACTTCTTGTAAAAGTTCAGCTATTTTTTTTTCTTTACTTTGATTATCTTTAAGCTAAAGAATAATAATAATAATAATATTTAATAATAATAACACAAAAGTTTATTTAAAAAAAAACTAATGAAAAAAGGCGCTGATGTACAAAAATATAATGAAAAAAAACTACAAATAAACAAGCGAATAAAAATAATATTAATAAAAAATAAGAATAACCCGTTGAGTTAATTGGTTCGTTTTCCGTTGAAGTCGCGTGATTTCCTGTTTACTTTCTGATATATTTTTTTCATATTCAAGAACTTTTGTGTTTAGTAATGCCTTCAATTATAATAATAATGAATATCATTACATTATATTTAAAAATTAAGCAGGAATAATGAAAAATATTTTTCAAGGATATAATAATAAATAACAAAACATTTTATAATAAAATAATAATAATAAAGTGACCCCCTCAAACGAGCAAATCAGAAAATTTATAATTTTATGAATAAATTTTTTTAATGATTTTTTTTTACTAATTAAAAATAATTTAAATGATCCACCAAAACTAAAAAGTTAACCGAGTGAGTGGGAAAAATTTTGTGCAAGGTCAAATATGTTTCTTTTTTTGTAGGAGTTAACTCTGATAATATACGTGCTCATACCAGGTGGTAGACTACCATGTGTTATTATATCACGTGCGTTACCCTTCCTGGGCCAATATATCAATCGCTCCTCCTCTTTTTCTCACTATGCTGCTTACAGTATTTTTCTTGTATATTGTTATAAATAATTTGGGTGGTCCAGAAAAACCATAATAAATTTGATTTGTTGGGAGAGGAAGGAGAGGTGTGCGTGTTACCAAAAATTTTCTTAAAAGTTTCGCTAAAATAATAATGTAACATACACAATTTATAAAAATGTTAGGCCGTAAATATTATAATAAATTTATAATTATTTTTATTTTTCATTGTTTTTTGTTAAATAAAAACGTTAAAATTTATGCATAATTTTTTAGGGTATTTCATAGCAACTTTTTAAGTTTAATAATTTTGTGTTCATTATGAATGTATTCAAATAAATACAACTTTTATGATGATAACAATGAGAATACATTTTATAAAGCACAATAATAAAAATAATTATACGTTTTCCTTATTTTTTAGGGACTGGATATTTTTTAATAACAAATCACGTTGCTTTTCAGTTTCCTTAATTATTAGCTCCATCGACTGAATTTTATTAACGTAAACGTTTCGATGTTCCTTTAAGAATAATAATAATAATAGTAATAATAACAACAACAATAATAATAATGATAACTTCTATTTCTTGTGATTGTAATTCGGATTGTATATTCAATATTAATCCTTCTTTTGAAGAAATTTCAAAATCAATATGCTCAACCATTTCAAGTAAACTCGGAGTTGCCTTCAAAGTAAATAATAATAGTAATAAAAATAATATTTTTTATTAATAATAAATAATATACTTTTGGTTCTTCATTAAAATTATTTTCCAAATTCGCTTCCCTCACTGGCGAATCAGAATGCATTGCCAGCTCGTTATAATGAGAATGGGACATTAGTGGTTTTTTAGAGGTGTGCTCTTTAGTTATTTGCAGTAAATTGATTATCCCTTGACGAATTGGCTCCCGACTGGAGGAATACTATAACGGCAAGCCAATGAAATATATATAAACGCACCAATCCTTGAAGTCTTCTGTGTCGATAATATTCTGAAATGAATTGGAAGCTGATATAAAGGAACTTATAATATTGCTAAACTCTCGGTTTTGCGCTCGCACGCGGTTGTTTTCAGTAATGAACTTTTCTATATTCCCACCATGCACTCCTCCTAGTGAGCTCGCTGTCATAAAAAAATTATGATAATAAATATAACAGTAAAATAATGATAAATGAAAATAGTTATAATAAAAAACATGGTTTAATCATTGACCAATCACAGATTGCTCCTTAGCTTTAGCCAATTCCGAACGAAGATTCATTATCTTTAATAGAAAAATAAGACAATCATCTCAGAATAGAAAATAACACAGCTCGGCCATCAACCTCCTGCTTCATTTTAGTGAGAATATCAGCGTTGCTATCATAATTAATAACTGCCTAAAAATAATAACAAATAATTTAAAAAAACTAGAAGCAACTTTTGAGTTTCAAAAAAAAAACAGCAAAAGTATTTTTAATAAAATATTGTACAAAAAAATTTAATAAAATAAGCAAAAAACACACTAATAGTTGATACTTTATTTTTAATATTGCGAGCGCGCACGGCATAATTTAGAGTATTTTTAGTTTCTGCTTCGCTAGACTCTGCAGCAGAAATGCATGCAATCATCAACGTGCGACTATTAAATTATAATAATAATATATACTTTTGTGGGTTATAATATAAATTTATGTATTATTTATAAAAAAAATTTAAGTTATTTATTATTACTTTATTATTTATATTTTTTACTTTCTTTGACAATAATATACTTTTGTTAGATTACTTTTTTTTTTACTATCTATTATAATAGTAAATATTTACATAAAAGTTAACAGTTTTGATTAATTCATTTTTTTATTTAATTTACTTTTTAAATAATAATAAATAATCATTATTTATAAAAAGTTAAAAGCTATTTGTTAATTCTTTATATTTATAATTTCTTACTTTTTATAAAAATATATTATAATTATGAAAAGTTGATGGTTGTTATTAATTATTATTTTTTTTACCTTTTATTATCACAATAATATATAGTAATTACTTATATAAATAACAAATTTTATTAATTTATTATATTTCATTTTTAACTTTCTACAATAATAATAATGAAAGCCTGTTTCCTCCAAGCGAATCTTGTAGTAATCGAGTAAGTTTTGAGTCTCTGTAGTTCACGTGGTGAAGCTTCCTTTCGGGGTCGCCGAGGACACTAATGACGTTTCCGAGAGCCAATAGTCCACAGTTGATGCTTATCCCTTCCTTGGCCCGTTCACCAATGGCCTGCGTTTTCTTAAGCTGAGAGCAAATTAGAAGGCGGATAAGCACGGAGAGCGGCCAAAAAAGAATAAGTAATAAAGGTAGTTTTATTAATAGCAAAAGATTTGAGTAGAGCAAGTGGATTAGCACGTGGCACCATTTTACTTATTTTGCGCTTCTATAATTTAAAAGGAGTCAATTTCAAAAAGCTAATATGTAAATAGAAATGCCACGGTGGATTTATATTAAAGAAAACGTGCCCATTTGAGTAAAAGGTAACAGATAATTACTTAATATATTATTCTTTATAATATTATGAGTACTAATGAAATCGCACATTTTATTTCTATTGGCTACAAATTTTTTCTAAAGGTACCAAATAGACACAACTTACTAAATAACTATGGGACAGACCAAATTAGTTTATAAAAAATTGTATAGAGAAACGGAGAAGTTTTTTACACATAATTTACTACGACGGTAAAAACTTAGTAATAGGAAAAAAAGTGCTGCCTCTTATTGACAAATTAACATTAACTAAAACTGGATTAAATTTTTTATTTTTAATAGAACTTTTCAATAATATTACATGTGGTACCAATAATAATAGTAATAAAGCTTTACCCTTTCAGACCCCGCAAGATCTACAAAATGAAACTTCGACTTCAAAAATTTATCGCTGCCATCTTTTTAATGAAAAAAATTATTATATTCAATTATTTACTATAATATTTATTATCTTTATTATTACTAGTGATAAAAATGATATTATTATATAGAATAATAATAATTACGATGTATATTTATAAATGAAATAATATATTAGTATCATTTTTAATATTAAAAAAATTTAAAAAATAATACAAAACATAATAATACTACCACTAACTACAATATAGAGGAATATAAATAAAAATATAAAAATATTAAACATGTTACTATATATAAAAATGTATTTAATATTACTGATAAAAAAAATTACAAAAAATATCTAATATAATGAAACGATATATACAAATATATATAATATTGTATTTATTATTATTTATATATAATAAAAACTTTATTAAACATAATAATAGGATATATATAAATTTTTATAATATAAAGATTATGTTATTATGTTTATTATTAAAATAAAAAAAATTTTAAACAGAAATATTTTATAAAACTTATTATTAGTGAAAAGAAAATGAATAATACTACCAATAAATTCAATATTTATTAATAAATGAAATAAATATTTAGTAGATATAACAAAATACATACTACAAAAGTTTAAAAAAAGAATTCATTTTATATAAAAAAAGTCTATAACATAAAAATATACAAAATCTTTAAAACCTCAACAATTTTTCAGTAGATATTATAAATATTATTAATAAAAATAAGAAATAATGAAACAAAAGTAGCACGTGCGACGCTTTATTCTCTAGTAAAAAAGTTAATAGAGATATATATCACATAAAAGTTAGTCATAAAAAGTTTTCTTACGATAACAATATAATAATAAATAAAAAAGTTCAAAGAAATAATAATAAAAGCTGCTTGAAAAAAATAATAATATAAATAATAGTAATAAACCATAATAAAAAAATTTATATATATAATAGAAAAATTAGCCATAAAAATTCACTTACGATAAAAATAAAATTACAAATATAATAAAGTTTGCTTAAAAATAAAATTATTAATAATAACAAAAGTTTTTTTATATATTTACAAGAAACCATAATAAAAAAATAAGGAGCGCTTAAGAATGAATATTTTTATAAATATTTTTTTATTATTATGGATAATTACAATATATTATTTGTTATGATAAACTTTTCTATATATTATTTTTTATAAAAAGCATTGGTAATACTTAGTCTTTACGATCTCGTAATAGATTTTCTTTAATATTTTACTTTTTATTTTTATTTTTCTTCATAATTAATAAATATTTTGATTTTACTTTAATTATTTTTAAACAAAGGTTGGTTTAGAATATTTATTTATAAATATTAACACTATATATTTATTTTAAATTATTATAAAAGTTATTAATATTATTTTTTTTATAGTATAATTTGTGGTTCAGTATTTTTATATCTTTCACTTCTATAAACTTGAAAATAAATAAAATGAACGTAAAATTATAACTGTTTCTAGTAATTTTACTAAAGCATTCAAATTTATTATAAAGTTCTCTTCCTTTTTTACAAAAAGAGAAAAAAGTAGACTTTATAAATTCATTATTATTACTACTATATATTTTATTTATAGTTCAGCAAATAAAAATTATAGACTAAAATTCATTAAAAAAAGTTTTATATAATATTAAACCAATAAAATCAGCATACTCAATATGACTTTCATTATTATTGAAATTATTCAATTCTCTAAAAAATATTTATAAAATTTTAATAAAAACTTCTATTTCATTAAAAAGATGATCAATTTTTTAAATGTTTTTATTGGCCTAAATGTAATATAAGAGACAAACAAAACGTGTTTGATAATAATTGTGTTATAATAATTCTGAATGTAAAATGGATAATATTTTTAAAGAGAAGAAAATAAAACAACATTTTACAAATAATACAAAAAAATAATATAAAGGTTATTAATAATATTGCAATGGCCATGAATAAAATATTAAAAAAATTTGTATTCACTAAAAATTAGTATAAAAGTTAAGTAATAATTACTATAATTTTTTATATATATAAAAAGTTATTATAATAAATGTTGTAATTTTCTTCAATAAAAAAAAAGTATATAAATTTTTTGTATTCATTTAAAATAAATATAAATTTTATTAAGTAATAATTGCTATAATTTTATGAAAAAAAAAGTAAAAAACTATTACAAAAAATTAATAAGTTTATACAAAATTTAAGAAGTGGTCAGTCATCTTCAAGTAAACTACATCACAATAAAGAAAATGAATTAATAAACTATTAATATATGATAATGAACCATTAAAATTCGAAAAGGACGCGCGCTCAACCAATAGTTTGCAATATAATAATTAATAATAACTCTTACTGAAACTGAGTGAACAATTTAAAAAAAAATAGTGAATATTATAAGTTCTTTATATGGAAAATTTATTTGAAAATTAAAAAAAATAATAATTACTTTATTCAAAATTTTTATGTATAATAAAAATCGAATTGACATAAAAAAGGCTTTTTATACTTTAATAAACTCTTTAATTCTTAATTATAAATAGTTGCAATAATAAAAATATTTTTAGCAAAATTTCTTTTCAGTATAAATAGTTTATATAAGAAATTAATTTTCCTAAAAAAATATATAAAAATATTAAACTCTCACGAATGAGTTCATTTACTTTCATTATATTTTATGTAAATTATAAGATATAAAGAAATATTTTTTATATTATACTAGTTTTATAGTAGTTTTACTATAAACATATTAATAACTTTTCATTCTTGACGATTTCAAAAAATATTAATATTTCCTTAAAAAGTTTATAGATTTTTCAGAATAAAAATAAAAAATTTTCACTACTACTTAATCAAAAACTCCTATTAAATTTTTAAACCAATATAATATATATACAAACTTATACCTTCGCAAAAAATTCTTTGGTCAAGTATGAGAGTAAAGATAGCATGCGAGCGGGAAGATAATTGGTTCATGTTGGTGCTTCCAGTAGAACGAGAGAGACTTCCTGTTCTTAAAAAGCTATACATTCATTACAAAAATTAAAATAAGTTTCATAAAAATTAGGAAAAATAAAAATAATAAATAAATAATTATAAATAAACTTAATAAAAATATCGCAAACTTTTATTAAGGTATTAAAAAATATGAATATTAAAAGTTTTCATAATAAATAAGTAAAATTGTTTATATCAATTCTTAGTAGTTATAAAAAAAACAAAATAATTGTGAAATTATATATAATAAAAATTATAATTTCTACTACTTTATTATTAACTCCTTTATAAAAAATTATTTTTAATAGTAAAAATACTTTTTTTCAATTATTATGGATATAAAAAATATACAAAAGTTTTTATGATTATATATAATTTATATTAAAAAATAAATTTGTTAAGAAATTTCAAAAAAAAAAATTTAAAAATCATAAACAAAAAATTTAAATAAACAAATAAATATAAAAAAATTTCTATAAATATATATAATAGATATAATTTACACAATAACTTTTTTATCTTTTTTTTCAATTGTTTTAACATTTTAGAGTTTTTTATTATTATTAATATTAAAATAAATAAAAAATTAATTGATAAGTTTCATTTTTCATATTTTTTTTTTAATATAAATTAATCTATAAAAGTAAATATAAAATACTTATAATAAAAAGTTATAATAACAATTTTTGGTGTATAAAATTTTTTAATAATAATAAAAAATAAAAGATAACGTTGTTAAAAGTTGGAATAAACGAAATCAGTTTAAAGTTTTCATAATAATATTCTAAAAACCATAATTTTTATTGGTTGCTTATGCTTAAAGAAAAAAAAAGTCAATGATCTGCCGGTATAAGAACCGAGTCGATACCGAACAAGCGCCTCGGACTTATTTTAGCCACTAACTCTTTTACTTCACATTTTTGATTGGTTGTAATTGGTTATTTAATCCGATAATTAGCCAATGAATATTATTTAATAATGAATTTAAAAAAAACAAAAATTCTTAAACATTATACTGTAGATAATAATAATATTTATTTTTTTTTAAAAAAAAAAAAGAAAAGAGAAATATAAATTTTGGTTTCATTAAGTAAAAATTATAATTGCATTTTTTAAAAAATATTTATTTTTTCAAAAAGAAAAGTTCAAAATTTTTTATATAAAATAAAATTTTTCAATATTATTTCTACAATAAAATTCATATTATATTTTTGTTATTACAAGTAAAAGAAAAAAAAAATAAAAAAGATATAAAAATTTCTATATAACTTTTATAATAAAATTAAAAATATTATGAAAAATAATAATAATATAAAAATTGAAAAACTTTTAATAAGAAAAAATAAAAAGTAAAAAAAATATTAGACAATAAAAATATTGGCTTATATAATAATATTTATATTCTTTGTTATCAGTAAAAAGTAATTTATATAAAAACGCACCATTTTATAATTAACAATAATTTTTTTTAAAAAAGCTTATATTAAAATATAGCAAAACTTAATATTCATAATAAGATTAAAGTATAGAAAATATATTAATAATACGGCATAATATTAATATAAACTTTAAAGAAATAAAAAGTTTGCATCTTCTTAACAAATTCTTATATAGTTGTAAAAAAAGTATCCTTATTATTGCAAATTCTTTTCTATTTTAAACTACTTATAAATTTTATTATTAAAGAAAAAAAGCATAATTCTGTAAAAATCTAAAAAAAAATTTATAAAAGAAAAACTCTTTAATAAAAAATAGGGATAAATATAAAATAATAGGCAAAGCTATTAAGAAAAATATTTTATATTTATTTATAAAACTCTTACTATAACGTTTACAATAAATATAATAAAATATAAAATCGACTCGAATAAAAAAAAACTTTTTATTATAATAAAAATAAAATATTATATAAATCGATTTCAAATACATATAAAAGTACTAAAAAAATTATTCTTCAATAAAAATAAATTTCTTTGATTTAAAAACTTTTAATAATAATAATAATAAATTATATCATATAAATTGACTCCCATATAAAATTAAAAAAAATAAAAAAAAAAAAATTTCCATTAATATTAAATAAAAGATAATTTTTCATATATACAAAAACTTTTAATATCAATAATACCGTAAAAATTCTATAAATAGACTTGAAGTAAAAATTAAAATACTATTAAAAAATTATTTTTCAATAATTATAAATTTTTTTTTAAATATATTTAGATTTAAATTAAAATAAAAATAATAAAAAATAAACTTTTTTTAGATATAAATAAAAAATTTCGAGAATTATAATAATAAAATCAAGTCAACTCGAATATTTCCTGCTGGGAAGACACCGGAAGTTCCTGCAACCCCGCCACGTGGATAATCCCGTTTTTCTCTTGAACAGACAATACTGATTTACTATTGGGTCTGCCAAGAATAGACGTGTGGACATTTTATTAATAAAAGTTTTGTAGTTTATTATTATTATTAACTTTATTTATATAATAAAAAAGTTTTTAAGCTTTCACTAGCTCTTATAAATACAATTATTTTTTAGTACTAATTACTATAATTATTAATAAAATATTATAATGAACTGAATATTAAAAAAAAATTAATAAAGTTTGCGTTAAAAGATATTAATAGAAGAGAAAATTTCTTAATATTATTAGTAATATTAGTTTCTTATGTTAATATTATTATAATTATTATAATTATTTACAATAATAAATACCAATAAGTTTATAATAAAATAAAAATAAACTTTTTATAACATAAATAAAATTTATTAAACTAAAACTTTTTAGTAAATAAATTAGAAAAATTCATTGAATTTTTCGATACAAATCTTATGTTTTTGTTAATTTTAGCGTGTAATTTTTTGGCCAATCATCAGTTAAAAAGTTTTTTATAACAGTAAATTCTATAAGTTTATTGGATAATAAAAAATTAATAATCTTTTAAGTTTTAATAATTCATTTATAAAATAATTTTTATTAACATTTTGAATATATTATTTTAAATTTATCTCACCAATCAAATACGTAATATTTCTACTTCAAATAATTATAAATAAAATTAATAAAAATTTTATAAAGCATTCGTTTTTATAAATTTCACAATATATTTTTTAAAAAAATTATTCGGATTCAAATTTATATAATAACTTTTTCTAAACTTGACAAATTGTTCTTTGATAATAAAATATTTCATAAAAAAAAGTAAATATGTTAACTAAACAACTAAAGAAAGATAAATTCTAATTTTGAATTTAAAAAAACAAAATTAAAATTATTTTATAATTAAAATTACTTTCCTAGAAGATCAATAATAGTTTCGTTGTAAAGTTCAAGAAAACTCACTCGTAAAGAAAATTCTGGCAAGCACTCGCCTTTATATTTATATATAATTAGAAACTATAAAAATAACTTATATGAAAAATTAATGTTTAAGTGACTAAATTTTAAAAAAAAAAAAATTCTTAAAGATTTTGAAATTTTATAATTTATTTCTTGAAATTTACAACTTAAAACTTTAGTTTTATAAAAGTTAATAACTTAGAAATTAATAGTTAAAATAAAAAATTTATTATAAAATAATAATTATAATTAATAATAATATACTTCAATAAAAATATTATATTTCAGTTTACTTAAAAAGTAAAATAGTTCTTATACTAATAAAAAATCCAAATTAAAAATAAAATACTTTGAATTTTAGCATGGTTTCTTTTGTTTTCTAATTCCTCGAAGATGAAACGGACGGAGCGCTGGATAACGCCGAAATTTTCCTTGTCGTCAGAAAGGGTGAAGCCGCTACCCATGGTATGCGTTTTTCCCGAGCCAGTCTACAATAATTAAAGATTAGAACTAATAATTTGTTAAGATGAAGAAAATTAGCTTTTTTTTGAAAATAAGGAATTCTAAAAGTATTTAAATTATAAATTAAACCAAAAATTTTAACAATAAATATTTTTAACATTAACTATTAGTATTAAATTATTTAAAAGTTTTGTAATTTTTTAATTAAAATTCAGAATTTCTCTTTGACATAAAATTATACAAATTATTTTGTGAAATTATACTAAAGTACATAAAAACTTTTATGTATAACAAATAAAAAAAATTATATCTAACATTAAATAAAATTATTCGGAAAGGAAAAACACAAATCATTTTAATTTTTTAAAAAATTTAATATAATATATAGTACATTAAGGTGAAGGATTTTGTATAGAAATTATATTTTTGATATTTTAATAAAAATTTACACCACACTTTATTTATTGTTAAAAATGATTTGTTATAAATAAGTTTGTATAATTTCAATTAACAAAGTTTATAGAAAATCTATTAAAAAATAATAACGGCAAAAAAATATTTCGTCCATGGAAATAAATTTAAATTTTTAAATAAAAAAAATTAACTACCTGACCGTAAGCTAAAATTGTGGCGTTAAATCCTTCTAGAAAATTTAAAAGTAAATTTGTGCATTTTAAAAATACTTCTTCCTTTTATAAAAATTAAATGAATCAAAAATAAATTAAAACGATAATTAAAAGACAGTCACTTGCGTGGAAGTCGGAGGTAAGACACTATCAAATATATAAGCTTTATTTAAGTTTGTTTTTAAAGTCACTTGATCCTTTAAAATCTAAAAAAAGTAAATAAAAAAGTTAAAACTATATGCGAATTATAAAATTCACCAAAAGATTTTCTTTGGATCCTTCTTCCATTTCTTTAAAAGAAAGAGGACGAACCCTAACAATTACTTGGAGGCCAGTAACTTGCATAGAAGCGGGCGGAGTACTTTGTTCTATGCAACTCAGCATCTTGTTAAAAGTTGCTATATTATTAGTCAACCTTTTCTATAATTCCTAAAGATTATATATTATATAAAAAACGTATATTTGTTATATAAAACTACAAAGATTTTGAAAGAGTTTTTCGGTAAAAACTGCTGAAAACGTTAAGAGTATTCTAAGGAAATTTTTTTTTTTTACATTTTATAAACTAAATTGTAAAGTTAATGATATTTTTACAAAGTGTGAAACTACATACTACAGACAAATTTATGTTTTTAGCCTACATATTAAATTAAAGATGGACAGTATAAAAACATTTATTAAAAATACTTTTTTTTAGTATAATTTCATGCATATGATGCAAAATACTAAACTCAGCATCCCAATACTAGAGTACACAAATTTCAATACTTTAAGAGAGTGAGTGTTTTAGTTATTTCTGAGTAGGGAACCACGCAGGCAGTTGCTCTGCAACTTATCGGTTTCTTGGAGCATTTGCGTAGTTTAGTGGGGTCTAAAAGTTTTACATAGACTCCTAAATAATAATCATAATTAAATTTATATATTAGATAAAAGGTTTTGTAGCTTAATGTAATGATGAGAATCCCTTTCAATCTCTGTAGAGATAAAAAGATTGCCTCGCTTGTAATATACTCTGAACAAATATTTAAAATACCGTGCTCTAGAAAATATACGACTATTTACTGAAATTTTTAATATAATAATTAAGCTGGTGCTCCTTAAATTTATAAAAAATAATTTAGCTTGGAAGGATATGCATATAAATAGTGGAGCTATAATTCTTAGTCAGGGCCATACCTTGCAACTTAAGTTAAAGAATAATAATATAATCCAACATTCTCGCACACACTAAACAAAGCGTTGCTACTTTTAGCTTTATCACCACGCCTTAAAATCAACACCCGCCATATCATTTATTAATGTATTGCGTCCTAATACACTCTATACCTAATTAAAATTCTTATTATAATAAGTTCCTCGTTTGAAAATACTTTAACAGCAAATAAATTAAGTTAAAGTCTGATCTTAGAATTAAAAGTAATTTTGGAGCATGTCATTGTTAGGATTAATTAAAATATATGAAACTAATACTGTCATTTAATACAAGGGTATTTGCCTATTAAGGCGGACGATCACTTTGTGGCGTGGTGGAAATTTTAGCAGCTACAATAGACTCTTGTAATGTTTACCTTCGAAACTTCGGTAACCGATATTGAAGTATTTGAATAGCACCTACTGGAAAAGCATATATAACTTACAATTAAAACAATAGCTATCTCGCCCGCTATACATAAATTTATAAAAATCTTCTCAGCGCATTACATTTTCATAATTAGCTCGATGACTACATACATAGCAGGTGACTCGGGATATACCAACTGCCTTTTGCAAAATCTATGAAAGATACAATTTTATAAACTTTTGATTAAACTTTTAGTGGAGCAATTAAATCTGCCCACCGTTAAACATATTGTTACAAAAAAAAATAAATGGCTTTCTAATATGCTGATTGAAAAGAATACGCCATGTGTTTTCGAAAATTTTAAAAATTACGCAACACTCTGAGTTCTTTTAGAGACTAGGATTGATCTACTTTTCAAATACATATATAACGAGAATCCTATTGATTCACACAGACAGTCTTATGGGCTAAGACCAAGCCTCCTTGTCTTAGAAGTGTAATGATTACCTAAAACTTTTTATTGATCTCCGTGGCATTTAATAAATTGCCAATATATTTCAGTTCATATGTTCCTGTGTCAAAAAAAACTTTTTCTAGTACAACTGATAAAAACCAGTTTTTACCAAAGACTTTACTGTATTCCTTAAGAAATTTCTTTATTTTCATTTAAATGATACTTGGCTTCTTTAATTACAATCCATGAGATTAGTTGTACTTGCTTCTTTCAAAACGTCCTTTTTGGAAGACTACCTTCTTTTATCCACTTATGGTAATTAAACCTGAGTTTAATAGAGCGGCAGCGTTGGTAACATACCAAAAAAAAATGTTAGTTAGACGATAAACAATATCCAAAATTTCATCTCACTCAACTTGACTACCTTAACTAACTTTTGATAAACCTTTTTTTCGTAGTTTGGGTAGCTCTTTTTGCAATTTTGTTACACTGATACCTATTAACGGTAACTATTGATGTTCAATGTTAAAGCTAATAAACACAATATTTTCTGATGTAAGCCCCACGAATGATCCATATTGCAAAGAATAGACATTCAACAGTTTATTTAACCGTCCATAGATATCAACTACCTATTGATCCTGATTAATTTCATTTTGCTCATGAACAAGCAATAAAACGGTATATCTCCTGTCTGCTATTTACATACATTGGTTTCTGGTGGGAATGTGACTAATTAACTTATTTTTTTTTTTTCTGTCCCACAATGCACCCATATATCATCTCATTTATTAAGGCCCTCTCCTCTTCGGTGTAGCTTCCCAAATTCCAAATTAAACAAGTTTAAATGCATTTTAAAAAATAATTTCCATTTTTCATTGATAATCTGCTGCCACTACAGCTCCGGGCCACATGAAGTTGACTGCCAGCTTTAACGAGCATCGAGTTGACGTTTAAGAAAAAAAAATTTCCCCGCAGTTTTATTAAAAATATTTAATAATATTACGAGTTGTCTTTTAACGAGTCGCTAAAGCTGGTGTACTGGCTACGCTTGAATACAAACTTAAATTTATACGAAGTGCTTCTCTACAATCACTCTCAGTTGGCGCAACACCACAGTCTTCCAATTAAACTACCATATAAGTAGGCTATTATTGCTGAGATAGGCCGCAAAATCAAGCGATATCTAAGTTGTCAAGGGGACTTAGCTAGCTTATATCCACGTGCAGTAACTATTTCCCACCTTGTTGGTAATGACATCGGAGTTAGTGAGCTCATAAGCTCTACTCGGTCCCGCAACTTTGCCGGTATTAGTTCAAAGGGCCGAGAAACCTACTGCCACACTGAACAGCAGACATGATGGGCGACCCGTCGTTTCTAAATGGCGGTGATAGCAGTATCAAATTCGCTTTACAAATAACCAAAAGTATGACCCTTTGTCCTTAACCGCGTCGGGCATAAGATTTAGTTTCGCCTCTTAGTGGTTGTTGGGGGCGCCAAGTTCTTTTTCGAGGTGTTTTTTAGGTAATGTAGCATCAGTAGGTAGTAAGGGCTCTACAAAGCAGCGACTACGCGTTTTCATCGGCAGTATTAATGGATAATACCTCTTGGGTGTTTTGATAGACGACCATGTCAATAAATGATATGGCAGTTGACTGTCACATTGATATGGGCAGCTATTAATGCACACTTGAAGGTTTTAACTGCATCATTTTGGAGGGAGGGTTTTAAATATATATATATTAACTCATACTTACACTATGCAGTATTTAAGATATTATTTTACCTTAAGCTTTCCACTACTTTTTACTTAAACGATTGTTTATAATTGCTGAGAGAGGTTAAAACCTCGTCAGAAGCTATATTTAAAAAATTTTACTGAATTTAAAATTTACAAACTATGTTAAATCTTTTTCTTCTTGCTGTTTATTATACTTTTATTTTTCGTCATAAAATTGTAGTGTTCGTCTATCATGCTTAAAAAACCTTTTAATTTTATTAGTTCCCTATAGGGCGACAAAAGTTATATTAACATTGACGACCAATAAGTTAGAAAGCTTGCAGTCAAACGCCTTTTCAAATGAAAGGGTCAAAAATATTTAGTTTCTTAGTTTACTAATAAAGTTCAAGCACGTTAATAAAAAGATGTATTGAGTACCCCATAAAAATATTTTTAAAACTTATAGTATAAAAAATTAAAGGTTAGTTGAGAAGAACAAGCAGCAGTAAAGCGACTGGGTATATGAAGGTATACTAAGAACAAAATGGAATCAATTAGTTGTAATGAAGGTGTTACCGTGTTAGGGTATTTAAACCTTTACTGACTGGTATCTAAACCTTTAAGCCTTTTAAAATTAATTGTAAACAAATGTATATATATAGTAAAGACCCACAGACGTGCCTAAAGCAAAAAAAAAGCACTGCGGAAAAATTAACACTACTGCCGTTTATTTTTCGTGAACCTTCATTGTATATACTAACAACTAAGCAATGAAATAATCTAAAAAAATAATTCATAAAAATTGCCTAATATGGCAATTTGCGTTAAAACTTATGAGCTGGGATCTTTTCTTCAACATACTGTAACTTGTCAGGAAATTAACAACATTACAAGATGATTTATTATTGCAAACAAAAATGAAATATTAATAATAAAAAGTTGATATATGACCTTAGGAAATATAAAGAACCGAAGTAAGAGAAGAGAAAAGAGTGGAAGATGAAGAAAAAACCCAACCATAAAAGTTTAAACACTACTTAAGTCTCCTACTACCCCAACAAAAAGTTATAAGCAAGAGATTTTAAGCTCTATGCAAATAAGAATTTATGTTTTATGTCCATGTGAGCAGGGACACTGGACTTCACGAACCTTTAATTCTTTAAAAATATGTTAATTTATAATTAAGAAAAAGTAAGTTGTTTATTACATTCTACTAAGCGAGGCATGAATCTTGTTTCTGTCGTAGGTGGAATCCAGTTGACAGGGAGACAGAAATGGTGCAACAAAGGCGAAAATGCCAAGTTTTAAGCGTGCAGGCTAGTCGGGCTTTCGAGATTGGTTAAAATCCAAGAAAATTTTGTTTTATTTAAGATGATTTAGCGACGATCCTAGGCAATCCTGCAGGGTGTTGCTAAGATCTGATATTTTTAAAAATAGAAAGTGATTTCTTCTCATATCTCTAATAACTCTAGCATGTCACTATAAATGATACGTATGGAATAGCCTATTACCTTTCCACTTTAGAATATCGTCCAGCTAGTAATTTCTTTGTGGCTCGAGAGTTCATTTGAGTTCTCCTTCTTATAAATCTAATTACTGCACATTCGAAAAAAAAACTGAAGACTTTGATGCTTTTTGAATAAAACTTAATGTGCATCATTTTCTAAATAAGAAGTTTTCAGTAATTTATTAGAAACCCGACGACCGTACTGGCCAACTTCCATAGCTCTGGAAACGTTGCTGCCTAGGAAACTCGAAGCTAATCTATCTTTGGCACTGAAAGTCAAAGTCACTGTTGCTATAGCTTCGTAATATAACCCTTTTAGTAATGGCAGTTAAAAAAATTAAATAAATTTTCTTTTATTCTACTATTTTGTAATTGCATTCTTATATCCCGTTAAAAAGTCCTCTTAACGAAAGAAATATACTTAACAATCTACTTTACAAAACTGTTAGTAATATAATAACTTAGGTATGGGAAAAGTAGAAGTAAATAAAATAAAAGGAGTTTTATCTGTATAGATCGTATATTACTTAAGAAGGCGACAACGTTTTGGGGTTTTCTAAATTTACTAACCTTGCACCCTCTATAAGGATAGCAGTCAACCTTTTACCTTAAAACTTTTCAAATTGGGTTTTTTTTTTTAAAACAGTAAACACGTAAAATAAATACATTCCGTGTTAGCTTTCTATAATTAGACAGTAATTAGCTTGTACTTGAAGGCATTTTGTATGTGCACCCTTTGAAAGATGCGTGCTTAAAATCATTCCTTAGGTGCGTTCTCCAAAAAGACAAACAGATTATCCAAAATAAAGAGGTTCGCTTATCCGGTAATCCACGTTACAACTTATTTTCCGCAAAGGTTTAACTGTCAACTTCGGCTGAAATTACCACAATTAATAGAGATTTAAAGCTGCTAAAATACATTTTAATTTTTTTTTTTCCCGCTACTATGAGGCTGTGCACTAAATAAATACGCCGGGTCACCAAGCTACTGGTGCTGTTCCTCTAGAGCTTTTTAAATTCCTTCACTAAAGTATTTTAATATTGAAGTTTATTTAGTATTTCTCATGGAAAAAAAAAATTGAAATAGAAAGCTAAAGCAATATGAAGAGTTTTTAAGTATTTTTTATAAAAAACCATAACTGAAATAGGAAGCTGAAGTAATAGGATCATTTATAAATTCTTTGTACAACTTCTTTTTAAAGTTGACTAGTAAACACCTGTTGTTAAGAACCTAAAAAGAGTATTTTTTACGTCCAAGGTTTTATATTTTTATAGGTATATTGCAAGTCGTATTTTTTTAAATTTACAATTTTCATCTCATTCTGTGAATTTTAAATTATATATATACCTTAGATTTTGGTGAAAAGATTACTCTACATATATTAGGATAGAACACTCTTTATTAGTATGAATTACCAACTCTCGAAAACCAAAGTTTTATTAAAAATCAAATTAAGGGAGAGGCCAACAGGGCGGTTGACAGACTTTTCTAGCTTATATAGTACGTGATGAACTAGGAAATTACACTCCATAGTTATTTAATACTACGCTTTGAAGTGAAAAAGCCAAAACGTTACAAGTCGGTACTAAACTTATTACCGGTAAGCTGCTACAAGAAAAGGCGAAAAAGTTTTTTGTCCGTATATACAACTCCTTCAAGGTATTTTTCAAAAGTTCACTTCAGTTTGCTCTGCCGCCTTTTAGTTATTATAATACCGACCCCTTCTAATTACTCAAAAGCTAAACGCTGGGGAAACTAAAGTACGTAACAGTTTATTATTACGTAGAAGCTCCTATAAAAGTCACTTTGAGGATTAAAAAAACTGAAAATTTGTCAAAAATTATCGAATTAGTAGAGTTAACATAAAAGTTATGTAACTTAACAAACCCTACTTTAAAAAAAGATTAAAAAAAAAACGTCTGCTTTATTAATTAAAATTAGCTGATGCAATAAGACAATTACTTGTAGAAATTAATATTAATAGTAAAATAAGAATTGATATACTTAAGAACTTCTTCCATCGCCTCCTATAAAAGCTTCACTTTTTTTAAAAAAAAAAGGACAGTATTCCGTTCAATATTTACCTATTCCTTATTAACCCACCTTATAATATTTTTTATTAATATTGTTAGTCCGGGAACCCCAGGCTTTTGCCTTCTTTCTATAGCGCGCCTACTTTTTGATTCAGTAAGGCTCTGGCATGGTTAAACTTGTTAGAGTATTCCTTGCCATCAAGTTTTTTGAGTGGAAGAGAAATCCATTCTTAGCCTCTTGCCATCATTTCAACTGCTTTACTTATTATTTACCGTTAGCTTAGTATAACTATCTACATAAAGTATCGTTAGTTAACTAATATTTAAATGTTACTGTTAACTACTTGTATGTTATATTAAAATATATTTAAAACTACTAGCTTAATAGAAGGAATGTTCAAAGTAATAAACCGCAACTCTAAAAAAAATAGCCCTTGTGGGTGCAGTAAATTCGTTTCATGAGGACACAGATTCAAAAGAATGTTAACAAACTTAATTCATCCCATAATAAATATATTAATCAAAGCAAAAATCTTTAAATCATTAACATGTGCTATAGCTATACAAAAGCACTTACATATACAAATAGTTTTATATAAAGGTGCTGTATTCTAATAAAATTAAACACTTCAAGTAAAACAAAAAATATATCTTTCTATAGTTAAAACAAACAAAAATAAAGAATAAGGTAAACTATAAATTTCTTAATATTATATTTTGATGCAATACAAACTAGTCGGATTTAATATTACTTTGTTATCCATCAATAAATTGAAGTTTATTAACATAAGCATAAAAATTGCATGGAATAGAAAATTAGAAAGAAAATTTCTTCCGTTAACAGTAGTTTGAAGACAGCTTTAAGTTAATCCTAAAGATTTCCAACTGAGGAGCTGCCCCGGGAGCGCCTTCACAAGTGGATGTCAAGGTTGAGGGTTTCTGTTTCTGGCTTTGCATATCTTTCGCGACTACGTAAATTTAAAATATGAATTTGTGAGAATGGATCTATTAACTTCTTGGAAAACTGTACCTGTTCGAAATTATGAGGAAGATGACGACTTGGAGCTTAACAATACCGAAATTAGCAGTGAAAAAAGTGATTTCTTTTCATTGAAACCCGAATGGGTGATCTTTATTTGTTATGTTTGCTTAAAAAGTTTTGTTATCACTCGTACTTTCTTATGAGATTCCCAACTCTTTGGTAACCGATCTTGAGTGCGAGACTCTCGTTGTGAGTCTATCAGCTTCTTCATCAGCCTTGATATTGTCGAATGTTCGCCTTTCCTCTCAAGCTTTGGCCTCAATAACTGTTAAGCAGTTAGACTATAAAAAAAATCTAACCAAGTTCAACATTTTTTTGTACGAACTTGATCCAGACAATGAAAACATAAAGGGAACTCCGTTATTATTTTTGGACGCCAATAAACCTATTCATTTAAGTCAAAGTTTTGAGATTTCAAGGCTTTTATCCGAAAAACTTCAACCTAAAAGGTTTTATTTTACCCTGCGCTAAAAAATTGTTTACAATTTCATATACTAGAGTTGTTATTATGGACTCATTTGAAGAACACGACTATATATCGTTGCAACCTCGACCTCAATCACCTTTTGTAAAGTATCTGGCTACCTCTTTGTACAAAAGCACCTTTAAAGTTATTATTGTATTCTTTAATTACTTTTTAGGTGGTATACATTGTTATTAAGGTAAAGAGGCTAATAACTTAGTTTTAATCCCTATAATATATATTAGCCTCCCTGTTCAGAGTTGGAAGTTCCAAATGCGATTAAGAGCGTAGCAGCTTCTCTTCTTACTCATGTTAAAAAATATATATATATATTTTTTAATATATTGTTTATACATAAAATTATATTAATTTTACTTTTGACAGTGCGAGACTTTTAATATACCAGCAATCGGCATCTTTGTTTTCCAGAGTGGAGACCCCTCAAATATTGAGCTCCAAACTTTAACTTTATTGGAATCTGTTGTTTTCAAGTTGGTGGAGTTATCAAATTTAAAGTTGGTAGGAGACAAAGACAAGTATTCTAAATTTATAAGAGTCACAGAGCTGCCCATTTCACTTTACTTATAACATCGACGCCAGTAATATAAATAAAATGTTACCCATACTTATTTTTATTGGCATTTTATATAGAGTTTTAGCTCACCACCTACCTTGTTTTTAAATAATTTTAAAAAATAAAAATTTGAGTTTGATGTTAGTATTAAAAAAATTCAAGTTAATTTATATATTTAAAATAGCAAAGTAGATTTTTTATAACAAGAACTTAAAGCGAAACTATTTAAAATTTTTATTTATTCGTTTTACTAAATTTGTACTTAAAAAACCTCTTTCTTTTAATCTGCAAATATTTTTGAATTTGTTTTTTCCTACTTTAAAAAAAATAAAGATAAGTTAATATCGTTTCATATGACTTTGAATTTAAGAAAAGAAACTCATATAGGTCCGAAAAAGTGTCCTTTAGCAATCAGTTTCTTAAGGTTGGGGACATGACACCGTGCCCTTAACAACAACGCATCCAGATATTGGTAGCATTAATAACTATTTATATATTTAACAAGAGAGGACGTGTGGGTAATTATATTTATTTACAATTATTTTATAATCTGTGAATTTATAATTATTTCAAACTTTCCTGTGCTTTTTAAAAAAGAATATAAAAATTATTCATAAGCGTTATTGCAATAAGAATCTTTATTTAGCACTATTTTTTTTTAATTGATAAAAATATAAAGGTTTTTATACATTCCAAATCTTCAATAAAAAACTCATATAATACTGAAAAGTTAAAGATTGTAAACGAAATTAGTGAATACGTGAAACTTAACCTCACATCTTTATCGGAAGATATAGCCAATAAAAATATAAAAAATTTTTCAAACGGTTATAATTGAACGACATTTTCCTATAAAGTTTGACTTAAAAAATACGCGTAGTAATTTTTCAGTCACCCTTGCAGGTAACTGCAACACTCTTACCTCTTCTATTAAGAATAAAGTTGTTTTACAAAAGTTTTTGTAATGACAGGATTAACTGTTACAGTAATCGCTTTATGTTGTAGAAAAGTGATTTTTACCCCCAAAAATATTCTAAAAGCCTGCTAACGAGTGATTCTTATGACTACGACTTTGTATCTGAAAGCGGATGGTGCTGTACCACAGAGACAAAATTCCGTGCTATGTATTTTTTGAACGAGGTTTCGAAATAATGGTAGATGGATACATTCAAACATATAAGATCTACGAAGTTAATGTTTCTACTTTTAAGTTAACACTTTTTGGAGAAAGCGAGTAGACAAATGCTGTTCCTTAAAAAGGTATATGCGTTTAACTTCCTTTTCCTTAAATGATAAACCATATAAAAGCTTCCTTTTGTGTGTATGACTAAAATCTTCAGTAAACGGTTTAAACACGCTAATGAAGATTTTTTAGGTTTGAAGAACATTTGTTAAAGTTTGCACTAAAAACGATTATAAATATTACATTATATTAATAATTTAATTACAACATAAAAAATATATTATAATGTATATACCCAAGTAAAATAATGAAGTGGGTATAACGAAACATAAAATTGTTAAAGCAAGGAATGCTTTTGTTGACCTATTTTTTCAGCCTGTATTTTTAACTTTACAAAAGGTCATAAAATGCTTCCATTGTATAATAAATTAATTGGTCAGATCAGTTTTTACAAAATTTAACTTTGTTTAATTTGTGTACCATTTAATCCCTTATAGGTTCCTGGTTGCTATGTTTAACACTTGTCACCTAGGTTCAACTTGCAAGGATAGGTCTATGGAATTGACCCTAAACGACAGGCTCATTCTCTGAACAATCTCGGTAAGTTTGAGTACCATGCTCCAACATATTGGAAAGCAATCAACAAAACAAAAAAATGGTAAATTTGTTTACCAGTGAAAGTAAAACAAATCCGTTGAAAACTTCAGAGTTTTGCCATTAAAAGGTTAAAGAGTAGGTCATATTATTTTGTATGTGATAAAAAATTTGTCTTTTTTTTCTATATTTTCATTGGCAGAATTTCAGGTATGATTGGTTTCCTCAAGAATATAATTTTTCATGTGAATACTTAGGGGTTTGTAGGAGGATGAAGCTTAGAAGTGTCTATACTCTATGCTATTGGATAGCATAAAACGTTTTTAAATTTAATAAATATATTACTGATGTTAGAAAACGTACATTAACATATTTGGTTTGGCTTTTGATAATAATGGCCCCCTTGCATATTTTGAACATGTGAAGATCGATTTTCAGCTAATCAAGTAAGGCAGACTTTTATAAACAAAGGTTATGAACAAGAGTCTGCCGAAACACTACGATTTGTATTAAACAAAATTCCTTAGCGAACAGTAGTCAGACTACATAAAAGAATGGAGAAGAAATATAAAAGTTTTGGCTTTTAACTTTAGGAAAATCTAAAAAGTACTTTTTTGTAGGAGACTCTTAAGTTATTTTACTTTTGGTTTTTGCAAATGGTTAAAGACTTTCTTTATTTTAGGTTTGGAATTAGGTTAAACTGTGAAAGTGAATTTGAACCTTAGTACGCTTGGCGCTGTGTTTTAGGGTCTATTCGTGTATTTTTTTTACTTGAAGTACATTTTATCTCTTCAATCTTGTGATATATTTTATATATACGGTAAATTATAATATCTAGTAAGGTAGAATTTACGACCAAGTGAACCGTTTCATGAGCTTCTGCTGGTATTTCTATTAGTAGTATAAATATTTCAGATAACATCAATTAAATTAACTGTCTATATTACACTTCTTAGATTAACTTTTTTTGGTCTTTTAAGGGTCCTTGCTAGAAAGTACTCTTTGCTCTAATGACTTAATTATACTTCCACCGAATATTATAAATAGTCGAGGCTCATATATTTCTCGGTTTTTTTTTAACCTGTCTTATCTTTTTAGTTTCGTAGAAAATTTGTATTTTGCAGATGTAACAAGAGCAAAAAAACTGACGTAACCTTTTGAATATTTCAAAATTCTTAAAATTAAGTATTGTATATTTATAACAAGGTAAAAACACGGCCTTTATAACGTATATTTTATTTTAATTTAGAAAAACTTAGTTCCTTTAAATTTATTATTTTTTTTTTAAAGGTTAAATAAAAACTTAGGCTAAACCCTAAAAGAATTCAAGTAAAATTGTAGGTGGTAGTGTAGTTACAAAATTCAATTTTTCCTGTTTTAATAGTAATCCTTTAGATCACTAATTGACCTTACTTTTTTTGTTTGGTAAGTTTTGGTTTGACGTTTAATCAATTAGTTAGCCCTGCAAACTAAATGAACAAACTACAAGGCACAGAAGCGCGAAAAAGGAGAAAATTTTCATAGTTTTTTTTTTTTTACACTGGCATGCTACCACCGGTCTTTTTACTAAAACCTTAAGCCGCTTAACCTGAGTTCCCCTCTTCCGCAGGGGTTGGGGCCCGAGTGCCCCCTATTGTACGCTTTTTAGAAAGCTATAATGACTGTTTTGAAGGACTGAAAAAGCGGAAAATATCGGGCCCGGGTGCGCCTTTCGACCTAGTGTGGTGGAAAACCTCGAAAAACTATCACCTGTAGAGGCAAGGCAACCTTAGGCACAAGACTCGAGGTCCCTGGAGACACCAGCCAGCACCATTGCCATTTAGGCCTCCCCGACTATGAGCTCCTCACCTGAAAGGAGTCTGACCCCCAATAAACCTTTTATTAAGTGTATATGTATATAGAAATGTGGTGCTCTAGTGCAAAATAGCAATCATACATCAAAATTGCATCCGGAAGGAATTTATTTACCCGTAACATTCATGAGCAAAATATATGGAACATGCACTGCAAGAAAGTGTGATGACGAGATCAATCTACAATTTTACAACAGTTTGGATCACATATTAAGTCAAATAGAAGGACAGTGCACAAATAAAGTCTGCTACCTTGTCTCGGTGAAATTAATGCCCCTACCCGCAGGGTTGTAGAAGGATTTAGATTTGATGTCATATTAGAACAATATTTCAGTAATAGTCCAAAAAACTTGGATCATCAGTAATGCCCTAAATGCCTTATTACAACCGAAAACCAATCATAAAGTTGACACCCATTCGAATTCCTCATTCTAAAGGACACCCCACCCTTACAGGGGGAAAATAGATAACCAACTATTTTAAAGACCGAGCTACATCCTGCAAAGGCTGTCAGGGTCAGCTTTTAAGATTTCAGGGGCCATAATAAAAGAAAATGGTCATATTGAAGTGGCTACCTTAAAAAGAACTAATGGCACGACTTAAATGATTGTTGATACCTGAAACCTATCCTCATTTTATTAAAGAAAGAATTGTTGACTAATATCCAATATAAAAAACATGTTAACAATACGATAGAGTACACTGAGGCCTATCAAGCCGGTTTTTTTAAATTTATAGATCGTGGCAAAGCCATTTATGACAAAAATTTTAAAAGTAAGCTGTTCTCTGTAGGTATTTTAAATGAAAAAGGATTGGATACCTGTATATATAGTAATAGATTTTTATATATAAAAAAAACAAAATTATTGATCAAGCTAGAAAAGTTGTAAGTGGCTCGATAATACAGCACCCATAACATTAAAAATCAAGTGTAATTTCATCACTTCCATAGAACACTTTTAATAAGAGCATATTAGCTATCCTTACTAAAAAAAAATACTTATCCTGGTTTGTGGTATTTATAAAATCAAGATTGTAAAATTGGGCACACATGTAAGATGAAAAAGAAGTTAACAGAATAAGCGAAACTAATTATCAGTGTATTTCAGGACATTTAATGTATTATGATACCTTAAAATAGGCATATCGTCATATGAGGGACACAATATGTTTTAGTCACAGCAAACGCCTCAAAATGAAATAAAATATCTAATTATCTAACAGGTTGAAAGATACAATAAATAAATAAAAAAATGTAGAAATGAAAGGAAGTACCACGGCAGCTGTAATTGAGGAAATAAGAACCGACAGGGGAGGTGTATTCGTAAAAGCAAAGTTGTTCAGAACTACAAATGCAGGTGTTAAGTTGTCAATAATACCTAAGGATAATCGCAACACACGCTAAGTTGAGAGAACCAATC